CTGGATCGTTCCTGTCTCTTGGGGAGGTAAGGAAGGTGTTAACTACAAATGCCAAACCCAAAGGAAAATAGCCCATCACACCCAGAGGCTGTGGCTTGCCTGCCCTGGGTGGTTAGGAGTTCTGGAGGGGCTGATGGGGCATCTGGCTGCAGGTCTTGGTTCCTCCTTGCTCCCTCTCAGCCAGGGCTGAAGCCAGGCCAGTAATGCTGAGCAGTGAGCCGCTGTGTTGGAGCAGTTTATTCCCAGGGATTAGAGTCATTGGGGTTTCTTAAGGTGAAGGCAGCTTGTAAAGAAAAAGACGTGTGTCTGGGGACAGCAGAGCTCTGCCACAACCTGCTCTGACCCACGACTTGTTCTACACAGAGTTTTTGTTTGCACATCACCTCTGATCCACCACTGGTCCAGAAGGAGGGGAGGGGGCTGGGTGGCTCTGCTGCAGCCTATGAGGAGCTCACCGTGTGGTGCTGGGGCAGGGGAGTGGGGTTGTGCTTGTCTTGGGTGGCTGATGGGACTGCATAGGAGGTTTTGGCATAAACATTTCTGCAGCCTGAGCTCTGCGGCAAGATATGACACTGAGGGCATTTTGATGTAGCACAAGGTAGCTGGAAGCTGAATGAAGGTTGGTGTGAGGCTAACGTAGTCCTGGGGCTGTTATTTCTGTGTGGTGTTGGCTCACTGGACTATAGTGTGGAAACCTCTGATGAGTTTAAACTAGACCTGGGAGCATCTCCCATGGCACAGGTCCATGCCTTCTCCTTTTGGCCGACATGGGCTGATCTCTTTCTGTGTTTTCCCATGTCTCCCTAGATTTTAAGGGAAGGAAATCCAGGTGTGATGCCTGGAGAGGGAGCCATGTTGTGGTCTGGCCAAGAGTCCTGGTTTAATCATAAGGGTATGGGGACCTGTTCTCTGTGGAATGGGGGTGTAGACACCACACAGAGCTGTGTGGGGTGCTGCAGGCACACTTCATGGAGAAAAACCTCGTGAGGTAAGGAATAACAGACCTCTTACAGACCACATCTCATGGAGTGAGACCCAGAGAGACTTTGCCTGGAGATGGCAGGTGACGCGCAGCTGATATTGCTCCACTGGGCTGTGTAGAAGTGCTCCACAACATCATCCTGCACAGAGTCCTGCACTGTTCCACATCAGGCTTGCTCTGGCTGCATTGCTGGCTCTGCTCCTATGTCCCAATACCAGCCCCAGCAGTGCCCCTAGACCTGAGCTGCCCAAGTTTTCATGATCCCCAGAAAGGAAAACAACAAATTTTGTACGTGATGAGCTCTCCGTCATGGTTTTCCTGCCATCTGCCCACCCCGGTGGATGTTAACAAGCTAGTAGATCTAGACCTGCTGTGCCTTGATAGAAAGATTTATTTTTAGGACCTTGATATTTAAAATGATCTGTTATAATTTCATGCTTAAATAACACTAAATAATGTTCCCTGTTTGCACAGTGTAATTGGAAGAGGCAAATAAACCAAACAAACCAGCTATGACTGAGCTTCCTTAGTATTTTTGAACTGAAACAAACAGTAAAAAACAAGGGCTTGGCCAATTTAACACTTTGGGGGTATTTTCTAGTTTGCATTCCACTTTTTCATTTTCACAGGCCAAGAAACACAAGAGCTTTAAAGAGCCAGTGGCTTCTTGCCAAAGAATACGCAGTTGGTCTTAGACTGGAAAAAAAAAGAAAGAAAAAAAAAGTGAACTTATTGTTTGTTTTTTAGGAACTGGCAGGGCTAATGACTCTGGAAGTGCCATGGGATTTTATGCGAGTGGAGAAAAGACTTAGAAAATATTCAGCAAGTTCATTTAGGCTCCTTTCATGCTTCTCAAATCCTGAGGCGGCTTTATTGCTGCTTTACGTCAATTTGACACTGCTTGATTTCACTGTCGCTCTCGATTTTACTGTGATGGTATTGCTGTGCTCGATGCGGAGTGGGTCCTGCACTGATCACATCTCTAACATCCCATGTAACCTGCATGGGTTTTTAGGTGATTGAATTAAAGCTTCTGGATTCTGGTGACTCTATTTGGGGATAGGAAGTTCAGGCCAAGCTGACGTTATCTGTGTAAAGCCACAGGAGCATCATCTAAGTGAAGAGATTTTGTGATTAGTCATGAATGTGTTGTGTTCTCTTCTGGAAAACTGCCATTGGAGAGGGAATATAACCCAGACTTCTGAAGCTGCTGCACATCAACTCATCAGTGCGTCTTTTGCTGAAGGATCCCTCCTGTTAGAAGGGTGAGAGTAACTTTTTCCCTCTATGTCCCCATGCTTAGATGCCCCACAGAGCAATGTTCCCACAGGTTCAGGCTGTGACAGCAATGACGCTGAGACCCCTTAGCAGCCATGCGTTCTGCTCTCAGTTCTTCCTTTCCCTCCAATGCCCTGTTCTCCTGCCACCCCACCTGTCCTGGGGACAGCTGGCTTCCCCCCAGTGCCTCCCCTCATTCCAGGCTGGTGAAGTCCACTATCTTCCCCTCCCTCTGCTCCCCCTATCCCTCCACTTCGTACAAGCGGCTCTGTACCCACATTAGCATTTCTGCTGACTGTAAGGATTGGTTTAATTTCATGGGTGTCGTTTCCTTCAAGAAATCTCTCTCTGAGCAGCAGCCCGACGAATGCTTGATAAAACATACTTTCCTACGGTAATGATTTTATGGACCCATAAGTCATGAATTTATTATGATCTCAGCCCCTGCTGCTGATTGCTGTAAAATGCAAAGTAATTAACAGCAAGCGGTAGCAGCTATTCCCACCTGGTAGCGTGTTTTTGGGTACGCTGATGGGTTTGATTAAAGTAATGGCTAAAGTGTACAGCCCGGCTGTAAAATATTAGCATGATTAATGCAGTATCCTAAATAAGAAACAAAACTAATGGGCATGGTTTAAGGAATTAAATATATATATACATTCCTCTCCCTCCCTCTAGCTATTGTTCTGGCTCATTTATGCTTTCTTTTCTGTTAAATAATGTATGGGCTTGAGGGCCAGGGGGCAGGCTAGAGATGCATATTGCAGTTTCATAACATCTTAAGTGCTTGTGTTAATTTTTCACTCCTCCCTTCTCTTTCTCCTCAACCTGCCATCTCCCATTGGATAGGGGGAGAAAGATAATCAAGTTTCCTGAACTTGGCTTGAAGTCAGATGTGATCTGATTTTGATTGGAGACAGCCTGGGGAAGTGGCTCGGAGGCAACTTGCAGAGTTGGACGCCGTTTCTGGCCTTGCAGAAGAGAAACCCTGATGCTGTGTTCTCATTCCTATGATGGGGTGATCTCCAGTCTGTCTCAGCAGCCTGTAAGTTTTTTGCACATGAAGAATAACCACGTCTGTCCAGAAACTGCAGTACTCCTGCTGAGAAAAGATGCTTTTTCTTTTCTTTTTCTGAACAGCTTAAAAAAAAGCGACTGGATCTGAGTGAAAAGTTAGTGAAAATAAGACTCAAGATAAAATAACCCATGTCAGAGTTCTCTGCACTCCCGCTCCCAGAACCATGATAAATTCAATTTCTGGCATTTTTCAGTGGGAAAGATCAGAAATTACTTGGGTTTGTGGATGAGAAAAAAATATAAAATAGAGATTTTTTTTTTTCATATCAAACACCTAGAAAAATTTATTTGGAAAAGGAGAAAATACCTGATTGAGAAAAAAAAAATGGCTTTTTTGACCTGCACATTTTGATCAGTTCCTCTCTTGCAATTTCTAAAGATGCATACACCAATGTCATCTAATTCCCTGTGATCTGCCTCTAACTTTTCAGGTGTATTGATCTGCTCTAGTTTAAGAAGCTACTGACTATTGGAAAAAAGAGTTTATAAATAACTACAGAGAAACGGGCCTCCATGTTACAGGAGTTCCAGCTGTTCAGCTTTTGTTTATTGCATACCATGCATTTTTTTGGAACTTCTCTTAACCAGGAAACTGCAAAAGGGAGCTTAGTGTGCCAGTGTCATTGAGAATTGTTGTGTTGTATTGTAGTGTGCAATGGTGTTTTCTCCATCTTGGGATGGAGAGGTTTCTGGGTTTGTTTTTCTAGATAAGATATAAACTCAGTAGTGGTTCTGCTAGTAAATACAAGTAGCTCCAAGCTCCAGAATGTCTTGTTGGTCCTTCCAGTAATTTGACAAAATATCTTTCTAGTAACCTCCTGAAATTACAACACAAACAATCTTGTTGATCCTTCAGTATCTGGAATAGTTGTGGCAAAGGGGTGCTGGGCTCTGTCAATAACTCTGCATGGTGGCCAGCTCTCTGCCACCATTGGCGTGGGCTTTAGGTGTCTCACCCGTGTTCAGTGGTGGTCAAAACAGGAAGAGACATGTGACCAGGAGGGTGAGAATTAAGTTCTCTCTCTAAAATTGCCACCATTGGAGTTGCGACCACCTTCTTTTGGGAAGGATATAGAAAACCTCAAAAAGATACAGACCATGGTCAAAGGTGTAGGGGAGCTTCCACGCAAGGAGAGATTAAGCAGATTGAAATGTTGGTTGAGTAAAGCGGCAGCTCGGAGAGGGCTGTAATCAAGGCACGTACAGTCCAGAGTGGGGTAGAAGAGGTTGCACAGGTGATTGTTTGCAGTGGCTTGCGATTCAAGTTCTGAGGGTTACCTGGTGAACTCATTAAGCAGAAGGTTTAAAGAAAAGGAAGAGAAGACCATTTGTCCAAAGTGCATATTTACATATATATATTTCATCACCATGTGCTGCTGTGGAGTCTAAAAGAGGAGAATAATTGTGAAGTGGGACTAGATTGTCACAGAAGGCAGATCCCTGGGGATGCTGGACGTAACCAAAGGGTTTGCAGCACGAAGAGAGCCAAAGATATCCCATGACTCCTTTTCTTCCTCCCTCCTCCCCTTGGTAAGGCTGTGAACATGTTCTTACACACACTGTGTTCTTTTCTCTTGAAATGGGCTCAGGGGCTGAGTGCTGGAGGGTGTAGCTGCTGTGGTTTGACTGACAGCACTTTCTTTCCTCAGGGATGGATCTCCCTAGAGTCTTCTCCCACCATGTGAAACCTTGTGTACTGGATGAGAAAGCACAGGGCAGGTGATGAAGGGCAGGCAATGATGCTGGGCTATATTATGGTTCTTACCAGAAACATCTGGGCTCAGAGAGGTGGAGGATGCCACAAGCCCGTGAGGCTGAGACCTGGCAGTGGCCTCAAGAGGTAAGAGCCAAACATGTGAATCTCATCCCAGTTATGAGACATTGTTTTGCCAATTATTAGGCCTAGCATAAAGGACACAGCCAGCATAAAGATGAACCAATAACCAAATTGTATTTGATACAAAAGGGTCAGTACATGGGTGAGCACTGGGGGTACAAACAAGTCAGTTTATACATAATCAACATCAATCCCACTGACCCCAACAATGACACCACACAACCAACAATGGGCAGAATAAATGGTGAAATGCAGTCTCCCATAGAAGGGACAGGAGACAACCGAGTCAACAAGCCAAATACATAAGACCAAGGAAGCCACATACTGAATCTCTACACAGCCCATATTTACAAAAGCCAGACCTGACTAGACCCCAGGCCCAGGGAGGCAGGAGGTCCTTCCCCAACAGGAAACTCTGCAAAGTGCATCCACCTCACAGACGGACACTGCCCCTGCCTGCAAGTGGTCCCAGCTTTTATCCCCAAGTGGGACACCTGACCTTTGTTTACTTAATACAGGACACCTGGGGCTCATTTACCCCATGGCTCTCCCTGCAAGGCCGGCTGCACCCTGGAGGGAAGCTTAAAGGGAAACTCACCCCCGCTTTGTGAAGGGCTGTGGGAATCACCCATATGTCAGCCTTAATTTGGGGCTTGGGGTTGAAACTCCAGCATTTCAGACGTGACAGTGCTGCAGCAAATACCGGCATGTGAGGATGGCATGTGATGGCTGGGCAAGGGAAGGCAGATCCTTTACATCTCTCATTTAGGTACTGTTTGAGTCATCTGCTGCAGTCAGGCAGCATGGCTGTGGGGTCATATTTGGAAGGCTTTCTCAGCAGTGCACACATGTTAATGATGTTTGAGGAGTAGTTTCTGTGAGAGACCTGGGAGCCAGGCAGCTCTGCAAATCAGCCCATTAGTATTTTTAAAAGAAAACCTTCATCCTGTAGGAACTGCTTTGGCCTCTGGAGACATGCCAGCACTGTATCCCAGACTGCACTGCATCTGCTTCTCCTATTAGATCTTTCCCTCTCTCCTTTTATCCACCCCTTTTCCTTCCCTCCTGGCTAGAGCTTTCTATTGCTATTCTATCCAAAACACACTTTAGCTATTGCCTTCTGTGCTTCTCTTTCCTGGAAGTTTGCATAAGGATAGCTTGGCTTTTTTTTTTTTTTTTTTGCTTTTGGAGCTAATCACCTTGGTGAAATTGAGCTGTAATGCAGTTGGCAGTGGTCAGATTGAGCTGAACGTGTATGCTTCAGCACATACCCAGATTCTTGCATCAATAAAAATGAACACAGACAGCCGCAAAGCGAAAGAGATATCGCATGGCCTTGTTTAAAACACACTCGCGCAAAAGTGCAAGCAACCTGAGCAAAAGCTGCCTGTCTCCTCTTTTGAGGTGGGTGAAAGACGAAGTTATTGGGCTTAATGTGCACAGCGAGAGTGGGAGACTGCGTTTCCCCACCTCCTCCTCCTGCCATCCGCAGCCATGCAGCAGGTAGAGGAGATTGCCTTTGGTGGGGAGGATTTATAGCTGTCGTGAGTCAGTCAGAGTGTCAGGGTAAATCAAGCCTGACATTTTTAACATCTTCCCCACACAAAGGGGGGGCAAGGGGGAACAGAGGAAGCAATTGTAATTTTATGTCTATATTCTGCTCAACTAATCAAGGTGAGCAAGAGACATGCCAGCCAGAGGAGATTTTCCTCTTGTTAGCTTGTTCGTTTCTTTGCTTTGGCTTTTCCCGTCCTTTCCTGGAGTACTATTGCAGTCTCCTCTGTGGGGGAAGAAAGATCCATCTGATCACTGATAGAGGCTAGAGACAAATGGTTCTTGCTCCTCCAGACTGTCTCCTGTAGTATGTCTTTAATCAGGTAATTGAAAACTCACAGAGAAACGCATTTTGGCAGAGATTTGACTACATTTGGCCCTGTCTCTTCACTCCTATTCAGACCCCAAACCTACTGCTAGCCTTGAGATGGCAGTGCTGTGATGTGGTGTACCATATCCTCTTCTGGTCTCCTCCTGCCCCTTTCAGGAACACCTTGCTTAGGTTGGATGGGCCTACAGGTAAGCTATGCATCATGAAGGGAAGCTAATTCCAGATTTCCAACAGCAGCATGGTTTAGGAGTGGTGCGTTGTATGCCTCTTGTCTTGCCTCGGGCATATGCTGCTGCAAAGCCTCCCTGTGCCTTTTACCTTGAAGCTGGTGCAGGCTGCTGCCTCTTGCCCCAGGTAGGCTAATTCACTCTGGTGGGTAGGGAGAGGTAGGGAGGCAAAATAAATACGTAAATATGTGCCTGTTCCTCACCCTTCCTATGCCACAGTCCAGAGTATTGGTGTAAAATATCAAAAACATCCTGATTTGAATACTGGGATTAGCAGGGTGCTCTACCTTTTATGAGAAGTGAAGATCCAATAGACTGGGATACCTCGAGGCAGTGGAAGGGCTTGTACCCTAGGGAAGGACCCTGGCAGCTTCAGTGCTGTCTTCTGCGGGTGCTGGGAGGGCAGCAAGGCAGAGCAGGCACAGTCCCGAGCTGGAGCTGTTGAGCAGCATTAAAAGCTGGTTCCATGTGCTGTCCACACAGGGCAGCATCATTAAAATTCCTTGTGTGCACAAAAGTGGGCTAAGTCATCAGCAGAGGACAGGGAGCCTCTGAGCTCCGTGGGCTCATGCTGATTTACACCAGCTGGGGAACTGGGCCAAATCTGTCTCATTCAATGAATGATCATTCAATTTTTCTCACTGCTATCAAGCCCTTAAACAAAAGCCAATTGAAATCAATGGGAGACTTTAATCATTTTCAGGGTTATAGGCCTAAAAAAATGGATGCTTGGGGAAAAAGCAGGCATTGGAGGAGAAAGAGAAGAAGGAATAAATGCTGCTGTAACATTCTGGCTTACAATGTAAACAGATGTGAGTGAGAAATGCTTTAGTTACGATTCTCCAGCAGCCACAATTCAGTAAAGCTGTCCATGGACATGTATACATTGAAGGGGCATCCTTCAGTATGTAAACTGCTCTATGGGTGCAAAGGGAACCCATCCCTCTGTGAATCCTTTATCTGCATGTCCTATTTCTATATGTGATTAAGTTCACTGCTCTTCCATTGCAGTTAGGGTTCTTTGTTAGTGGTAAGCACATGCTCCACGGGATGGCTGTTACGCACAGTAATGCGGGAAGAAGTGCTGCCTTCTGCTCCCAGAAACTGGCAGGATTTTTTTGCAATATGTGGAAGAGGGGGGGTTTAATATCTTGTCCAGCCTCTAGCTGTATTTTGATAAAATACTGTGTCCAATGACTGCATAGTATTTTGCAAGTATGGCAGGGTAGATCCCCTTCAAACAGATATTATCTGGCCTATTTTTACAGCTGATAATTTGCAGCCTTCAGAGCCATCTAGGTGATGGCACTGTCCTCACCTTGTGATCTCGCCAGCTGAATGAATATGTCAGGATCGGTCCTTTCAAATCCAGCCCCAGTTCAAACACAGCCTTCAGGACATCTGGGTACAGTTAGATCCTTCCTACCTCAGCCTCCCCATCTGTGTAACAGGTATGACAATCATCCTTTCCCCCGGGTAAACATTTCATTATGCGATACTGCTGAAGTACCTCAGAGGGGAGAAGACCTACAGATAAGTCTGCATTCTCATTTTGGCTATATTTGTGTGTGTGTTTTCTGCTTTAACTGATGTTCTCTTGCTTTGCCTGCTCATTAGTTCTGCCTGAGTGCAGGACCTCTCCAAAAAATGCAGCATTGGCAGTGGGCATGAATTCTTAACAACTCCTGTCTCTAATGACAGAATCAGGGGCCAGGCAGTCAGTTTGCTTGCTGAGAGAAGGGGAGGCAGACTAGACCGTAGCTCATTGCTGCTTTCTCTTGTTGTGAGGTGAATTTGCAAAATCATAGAATATCTGCAAGATATGCTCAGGTGTTGGCCTGCTTTTCCATGCTGCAAGAATTGCTTGAGTTGACAGACAGAAAGAGATGCCTTTCATCCTGTGGAAGGTGTTGAATTTGTTTTTAGAACTCACTCTGACCTCTCTCTGTTGTTCTACCCAAGAGATCAACAGAAGATTTTGGCTTTTGAGCCAAAGCTGGAAATCCTGAACCTGACTTGCCCAGTGCCATGTTGTGCTGTCCAACTTAATCCAGAGGAAAAATATTAAACCCGTAAAAAGCCCCAATCAAAACAACACAGCAGTCAATTTAAACAAGAAAATACCAAGGGTTGTACTAAACAGGAGAAGGACTTTTAATGGGAAGCTTAAAACTAACTTTTAGTAATATTTTTGTTGTCTTTTGTTTCTATTCTGTGCTTGCATTCAGAGATTCCTTGGCTTTTTGCAAATGCAGTTTTTAACATAAGTTAGCTTTTCCTTTCATTTCTTTCACAGACTCTTTATATCTTGTTTAAAAAAAGAAGTCTTGGTGGGTTAGAATAGGTGGGAACAGAAAGGCAGGTGAATCCTGCCTGGGTGCCATTCTTTCCATTTCATTTAATGGCAGGAGTAAGAAGAAAGGAGAAAGAAAAAAAAAAAAAAAAAAAAAAAAAAAAACTTGACAGTTCTTTGAGTTTTGACTCTAAAAAGCCAAACCAGAGAAAATTATAATTTTAGGTGGTGGTGGTGAAATCCTGATTTTTCATTTGGGTGGATTCCAGCTGAAATGTCATTTGGTGGAATTGTTTTGTTTCTGATGAAATCTCAGTATGCTGTGAGAAAATTTCAAGTTCATTCTGGGCTGTTCACACCCTCTTAGAGCTCTGGTTATTTCTCTTGATTTGTCCTTGTTTCTCCTTTCCACCTCCATCCTTGCTGATGCTTTTTTTCCACTCCTAATCCTGTTCCAGTAAAATTGCCACCACCAAGACAGTTAAAATGGCCATGAGGCATTTCCTTCCTGCAGGGACTAGTTGGGGTTGATAGCCCCAGAGCTATTGTCTTGGGCTGATTAAGTTGCCTCTGTTTTGCACACTGTTGCTGGAAAGTT